ATTATCACGATATTCGGTAATATCGCGATAAATGCAATAAAAACAATGACCACATTTTTCAATTTTAATTAATATCATTAATTAAAGAAATATGAAGGATTTGTCTTGTCTAATATTTACTGTACAGTGTCTACTGTGTCTCCGCTGGCACAAATGCGGCGGGCACACAGGTCACACAGCGCAAGCAAAACCTGCAATTCCATTGTTCAGCAGATTAAAAATAGTAAATACATAAATATTAGCTTTTGTATCGTATAAAATTCGTATTTAATTCAGGAAATAGTTTTAATTCTTTTAAAAACTATATTTTCTAGGGAATTGAAAGAATTTTTTAGGATTTTATAACAGCTATATACAAATGTGAAGCAATATCACGATAGTCATCGACCATGACGATAATTTCGATATATCGTCGCTCAAGTGTCTGCCTTCGATACGATAATCGTAATTGAAAATATCGCGATAAATCAAAATATCGAAATATCGCCCAACCCTAACTTTTAGTACGTACATTTAAGTAGATTTGCCGAAGATTTTCAGGGGAATTCAGGTAATTCTCAGGACATGACTGAGAAAGTGAATTTGGAAAACAACTGTATTTTCGGAAAAATTATTATATGTCCTGAAAATTTTTTGTACATCTGGAAACGTTTTGGTAACCCCCCCCCCCTCTATCTAACCACACACACCCCCTGCGACGAAGTGCTCGCAACGGCACTGAGTATATATCTTTTGAAAACAGGCGAGGGGTTATTGCATGCATGTATTTCTAGTTATGTATATTATTAGGATACATTAAACACATCTGGTTGGTTAATGGTAGCGGTAGTGCAAGTCAATTCTCAACATATTTTCTTTCGCGCTTAGAGCTCGAAGTTTTGCGGGTTTTGGTCTTGTCTTTGAAAGACCTTAATTACCTGTACAAACTGCGAACTTGTGTAGATAGTGCAACTACCTGAAAAGTATAAAGAGTTATTGCTATACGCAAGCCTAGAAAATATACTTCGCTTCCTTGCAGCAAACCCCCAAAATAAAAGTGTCAAATGCAGACGTTCTCGCATATGTACATTTCATTTAAGGTATGCCAATAACAGGCATACTTATATAGCCACAAACCATGGCTATAAGGTATGTCGGGAAAAGGCGTACTTCGCTTCAAAGGTACTGTACAAGGTCCAGTACCAACTTTTCATGTGTTTCTTAATTCTGAAAACATTTTGAATGAAATTGCAGGAACTTTTCTTACATCTTGCAGAACATTTTTGTCATCTCATACTGAACTGCCATATAATTGTCTGACTGTTTACAAAATTGTTTTGTAAGTCGATACTGCAGTCTCGGCCCGAGATTGAAGTTTATGAGAATGTGCGGCGGCGTACCTTATATTTTATAGGTTTATAATGAGAGCTTGGCATATCCTTTTAAAAAAGTTTCCTTGTTTTGTCAGTATTGTATAATAGAGTTTATCTTCGTGAAGTCCATTTTAAATTCTTCTTTTTTCTTCAGATTTTTCAGACAAGTGTCATGCATTCGACAGTGGTGTACTTAAAGGTTTTACAGCGATGTTTCAATGTTCTGGGATGGTCTCGTGGACAGTGTTCTTGGCTGTATTTTATCTCTTCTGGGTTACGTCATTGTTTGGCTCGCAATGTTATCAGGTATCATTATTATACTTTGTGTGTGTGTGTGTGTTGGTGTTATGTACTCAGGTGAATATGATCACAGTTAATAGAATACATGGTTTGGAGACTCCATGAAAATACAATATAACTCACTAACTATGTTGTTTTCGGTTTATGCAAGAATTTGGGCCTATCTCGTCACGTGTGTATTGTATTTTTTCCCGCACAACCAATAGCAATGTTTAAAATTGAGCATTTGTTCAAGTTACGGATGGATAACTCAACCACAAACTTGTCATTGGTTATTTGAGCGAAAATACAATACACACGTGACGAGATAGGACCAAATTCCTGCATAAAGCTGGACAATAACATATAGTTAATGAGTTATATTGTTCTTTCATCGAGTCTCCAAACCATCTATTAAAGTAACTGTGATATGATGTATTGTGATGTTACTCTGTGTGTGCATCCACACCGGGCAAGCTGAAAAGTTTGCCTGACCACGGTGGGAATCGAACCCGTGACGTTTTGGATACTAGTCCATCGAAGGAACTATAGACTCAGTTCCGAAATATCACGACCTCCTAGCTCAGTTGGTAGAGCATTGGACTATCCCAAAGATCGAGGGTTCGATTCCCACCGTGGTCAGGCAAACTTTTCAGCTTGCCTGGTGTGGATGCACACTCAGAGTAACACCACAAACAAGGTATCATTATTATCAAAATCACGATTGCACGACACTTTATTTCGATTGCGTTAGTCTTTATTAATCCAAAGGATTTAAGGATACATGTATGTGGTAAGCAAATGAAATTAAACGACCTGTAGAGTTTCGCTTGCTATTTTTGATGTTCCACTTGGCTGTTCTAGAAATTAATATAACCTGCCATTGGCTGGTCTCCTACGCAGCCTGTTTGCGGGTCCGAGGTTTTCTCCCCACGTACAGGCTGCTTACTGCAACAACACATTCCATTCCGATTGTTTCAACTTGACCAATCAGGAAACGGCATGACGTAGGCTTCCCGCCAAATTCAGTAGTGACTAATTAATTGTCAGTGCTAAATATATCTCAGTGTTTACTGCTGTTAAAAATATATTATACGCATGCTTGAAATAATCAACTTGTTTATATTCTATAATCTATATGACGGGAGAAGTGCCCTTGGTATAGCTGATCTGATCAAGGTATCATGCAGTATTAAATGTTGATGTGAACAATATTCTGACAGTAACGATTTATTTGTTTGCAAAAACGTATGTTATGAAACGGCTGTTGTCTACTTGTCTAGTTGAGGCTGAAAGTTACCCTAAGACATAATCCATGGACCCAGCTTTTATCGTCCTATATTCCGTTCCTACTCGTTAGAACTGTGAGTAAAACTGTAAATGATACCTACAATACATTGGGGAAAGCGTTACTGTATGGACCTCTATAGAGAGTCACTATATACGCCATACGGCAGTTATGAAATGCAACCTGTCCGCAAAGTGGTTTATACACAGAAAGTGCTTGACATCGTTTCCCAGGAAGTTAGCGATTTGTGTTTTAGAAAGAAACTCTCAACTGTGTTAAGAAAAACTGGGGAGGATGATCTAATGAAATTCAGTCTGGAGCAGCTATGTGGCTCTGTGCTGCATGCTCAAGCAAAGAAATGGTGAAATGAGCGCGACCGCCTATGACGGCTATGTGTTGGGTATCCTCAAATAATCTCGCTCGACTGAGGTTTATATATAATGTACTTAATAATACACTTAAATACTACTCAGATATATAGTTTTAGTTTTCATTTTAATAGGCTTGTACAAAAAAATATATTTATATTTTTCTGTAAAGCAAAAGTGCTCGCGGGTTTTATGAGTTCTCAGACTTCTATGGTTTCAAAAGTGTTCGGGTTTTATGCGTTCAAATAAAACCCGACTCCCGAGCACTTTTGAAACCATGGCATATAGAAGTCTGAGAACTCATAAAACCCGCGAGCACTTTTGCTTTACAGCATATTTTTGTACAAGCCTAAATGAAAACTAAAACTATATATCAGTAGTATTTACAGTAAGTGTATTATTAAGTACATTGCTATAGAGTATAGTTTTAACTAGCAAATGTATAAATATTTTTATATTTTTGATTTCGTGTTAATTTGAATGCATGCAGTAATTTGAAATTGACAACTTGTCGTTCAAAATAGTTATTGATTACAAATTTATATATATTATATATTTTTATTTAATTTTCCCCATGTATAAAAAAGCTACTTAAAATATATCTTTAAACGATTTTGGGCTAGATACCTACTAGACATCTTCGCAGACTTTTTATTTAGGCCTCTAGTTACTGTTCATTTGTGATAATTAAATAGTCAATTATTTACAGTCAGTCAATAGGCCTACATGCAATATGTAAAATGAGACGTTTTGAAGAATATATACGTCTGTATTTAAATCTGGTAAATTATTAAGCTGGTGGTACTGAAACATAAATAAGGCAGTTAAATAGTCAATGATTTATAAAGAGCAATGCCTCTGGTATTCCATAAACTACCGCTCTGGCATTTATATTCGTGGAACAGGCGATCACATCACATGAGAGGCAAATCGATTTACCGAAGTCTGTAGTAGGCGGGTTGACAAACACATCTCATTTTTCTTTAATTATTGTTCGAATCGCATTCTTCTGATGATCGTTGAAAGTAGAAATACGAAATAATGGGCGACTTCACACAATGCTTGATCATGCGACGCCATCTTTGTTTCGGAATTATTAAATTTAAGCGCGAATGAGTTCCTGATTTTGGTACTCAGGCTGTGATTGGCTAAACAATCGGAATGGAATGTGTTGCTGCAGTAAGCAGCCTGTACGTGGGGAGAAAACCTCGGACCCGCGAACAGGCTGCGCATGAGACTAGCCATTGGCAGGCTGCTGTTTCGATCCGGAATGGTGGGCCCTATAATGTCACAAGATTTACCCAACGTGTTCCCTATGACGTCATCATTGTAAAACGGGAAAAGCGGTGCTTTACAATATATTAAGCTTTGTTGTATATTTTCCTGGACTGACCCAAGTATCTAGAAATGTTAAGGGCCTTCGTCACTTTGGGGTCACCTTTTGAGCTGGATATTTGTATATTTGTTTCTTCTCTTTCGGAAGTTCTCGAGGAAGTTCGTCATTCATGTTTTTTATTCAGATATTTTGGCGTGGAATGACAACAAATGAAGTTATAAATGCTCCAAGATATCAACATTTCTTCACAAAAGATAATGGTGGCATGCCTAGCAGCCCTTTCACGTGAGTAGATATTATATGACTCCAAATGCAGGCGAGGGGTTGGGGATATTTCTCAAGACTTTGGGGGGGGGGGGGGGGGACACGTTACACCGCTGAGTGGCCCTTCTGTTACTGATCTTTATTACGTGCTGCAAAGTCTCCTAGAGTACAAAGGTCTTGCATGCACAAAGATCAATCGGTGAACCGTGTGATCATACACGTGCAAAGCGCAAGGCTGAATTAACAACAAACCATTGTCAAATCTCTTCCCATGTGTACAGGAAAATAGACCAATCAGGTTTCCAGAATTGACTTTGCAAGTCTGGTTGTAAAAATAAAATATTTGGTTGTGCTCCCAAAAATCACCCTCAACCCCATAGACTCACAAATCAAGGTATTATGCAGTATATTGTAAAGTAAACAATGACCATCGCGGGGATCCACCACCCCTCGGACGTTAAAGTAAACAATGACCATCACGAGGATGTACTAACCCTTGGACATTTAGGATGCCCATCTCGGGGAGCTACTACCCTTTGGGTAAAGTCCAACATGGTGCACCACGACCCCTAGAGGACATATAATTATATTATAATCAATATTGCTGTAATAGTGAGTCAGTGGGGCGACACGTTGGCCACAGTTTAAAGTATAATCGGAGCATTTCTCCTCGACAACCCTTCTCCCACAACATTGTGTGTGTCATAGTCATGGTTTCTTAATTCTCTTAGAATATTTGCTGAACGAATTAAAGCAAGTTTATATATGCCCATAGCATTATAAACTTAAGTAAAACTTCTGTTCTGAAACGTTCTTGAAAAAATATTAACTGAATAAAGTACCTCCGAACAGAATTAAACTAAATTCAATAAAAGAAGTTATAAAATTGTTCATATTTAGTACGATTGAAATGAAAAAAAAGTTTTCTCTTAACGTGGGAAAATGGTACTGAGTTGAGTAAAAATAAAAGCAAGATAGCAGACTTGAATGTTAACGACAAAGCATTCAAAACTTCAATTACTTAACTGGGAAATTAGCAGTCAAAAATTCTGCGTTGAAACATGGCCGTAAATGAAATTTCTTCCAAAATATGTTTTTGATGACAAATAATCTTGAGTAGCAACGAAATTTTAATGAAATATTAGTTGAAATGTGCAGGTGGTTTGTTCTCCGGAACAATGTGTAGCTATTTGGTTTTTGAGCGATATTTTGCCCCAATGATTATCGTCAAATTTCAGCATGTGAGGTGTATTTTGCTGAAATTACTTTTTTTCGGGTTAATTTTCGTGCTAATTTTCATCTTCGTTTTAAATTGCGCAGAATATACGCGCAGTTTTTGCGCAAGCTCAGACGTTCTTGTTGTTATGTTTTGCACATTATTATAGCGGTGAGACGCAGAAAGATTTTATAGAGTAAGTCTAAATACATATCGTTCAATCCTATTGTATTTATTTTTTAGACGTGGAGTTATCGGCAATATCGCTGACTTCTTTCAATGTTCATGCTTTGGTTTGGTGAGACCCGTGTATGTTGACTGGAAAGCTGAGTTCAACTTTGACCAATTTTCAGCACATAAAAAACAAACTGTATAACGCAGACACGGCTAAACATTCTGTAGCCATGTTCCTGGAAACTATCTTAACTTGACCTTTAGTTCTAGTGTAGAGATGTATTTACGTCGATTGGGCTGGATTTTATCAGTTACCCCACTCACTAGAGATACGCAGACACTTCGAAGTAGTATAGTGTGTTGAAATTACTCAGTACCCGGAATAGATCTGTGACGTGCTGTAGTTATAGTATAGGTGCATCGGAAGCAATCTTTCAATTTCCAAGATATGGAAATTGAAAAGTCCAGTATCCATGCAGTGGCGAAGCTGAGGGCATTTGACTAACACCCGCACAGGCCAGTGGATACGGCGGCATGCACCACGCAGAGTGGAAAATTCTTAATACTTTTTCATTTTGAAATTTGTATTTCACGAAAATTAATTTTATTTCGCTATATATTTCAACTTCACTGAAAATTTCCCTCAATATAGAAGAAAGAAGAGAATATTGTATGTATGCATTTTAATTCGCTTCGGTATAAATATGATCTTTCATTTGGAATTGTGTAAGGTCAACTGTAGTGTACTATAGTATAGTAGGCTATAGTGTCTGCAAGTACCTTGTAAATCTGAAGCAGAAACCTATAAAGAGATTTCATAGATTTAGATATTTGGTATATCTGTAAACCTCTAATTATATAAGTACTCATGAATAACTAAGCAAATGAACTGGTAGTAAATATATTTATATCAAGCGAAGGTCTTCACAAATCTTGTTTATATTCGCCATTATATAGAATACACAATTGAGTCTGTTAACACCTATTTCGTGAGCTAAAATATCTTGTTAGAAGTCAGAAATATTCTATCCAAATCTAAATGGCCTTCCTACAATACAATGGATTGACGTTGGTCAATTTCCGTATATGCATGACTAAGATAACTTGAACGAACTGGCTCGACAAAATTGCTGAATAATTTACGGTATTTAACTTGGTCGTGCTTTCGAAGATGAGCACGACAAGAAGCCAAAATTTGGTGAGATACGCATGCGCGAGGAGCAATTTAGCCAATAGAATGCGTTGATATTTATAATTTAGTCGTGCTCACCTGACGAGAGCACGACTAACGGGCGGGTTACCCTTTAGTCGTGCATGCCATTGACCCGCGGTCGGGTGAAATTACACAATCATACCTCGAATTGGTTTAAAATCACGGCAAAATTACTGGATTTGAAAGGATTTTGCACTTAATAGATGACGCAAGTGTATACCATGAATCATTTAAAATTTGGGGGGAATTGTTTTTAAGACTAAAAAATTCTTTTCTTCGAAAAATGTGTACTCGTGCCCAGTACGACCTCTAGCTTCGCCACTGCCAGTATCATACAGGATTATTGTTATGGCTGTCTATGGTAGTATAAATAAGTATGGTAGTATGGTTTCGAGCACAATTTGGAAAAAGAACATGCGTGAGTGAGTTTTTCACAAAGATGCCAAAATTGCACAAGTACGAAGGACAAGTGCGTGCGATGCGAAATCTTTGAAAAACTTACGATGTTTCTTTTGTCCAAATTGGACGAGAAAGCATACTATTGCCTATTAATAATCATATACATGAAAAAATTATGTAGAAGCAATTGATGGCATGCATGAAACACGTGAGATAAATAATTTACTCACTCATTGAATGGCAAAATGTATTTTGTTTTGTCGCTTGCTATATACCTGCTAAAATTGCTCTCATCTTAGCTAATCAAAATCGAGTAATTTTCCCTGTATATTATTATAACAGTAACGCGATCTATCATGTTTAGCCTATTTAGTAAAATAACTTATTTTTATACTGAAGACAAACTTCCGAGTTCCGATTCTGATCGTTCATTTTTCATCATTTCTGATCGGAACACAGCGTCCCGGTGCACGCCACTAGTTAATCGTAGCCAATAAGTTTCTGAAAAATATTGTACGATGAAGGGAAGATATATCATCATAGATTGACAGAATCCCTATTGTGTAAAAATTCAGCGGCAGATTAGTCACTATCAACGGAACAACTGTCTGATTTACATAGCATTCTTATATAGCTTGACTTTGTTAATTTTTTAATGCGTCATACAGGATGACCAAAAAATGTTCCCCACTATGAATTGTGGAAATTTTATAGCGGCCGGAATAACTATCATATGGGTTTATACCAATGATCTTTGAATTGTGAATATAACCAAACATGAAACGTCCAAGATCACTAGAAGGTTGCGACCATGCAGTGGCGAGGCTAGACATGGGAACAGGTCATGCTAAGCAAATTTGTAATGATTTGCATTTAGAAGTGAATTATCTCTAACCAATTTTCGGCCCTTTGCTAGGTCCGTTATCGTTCACTTTGATTAAGCATGTCTTGAAACTGAAATATTTTTAACAACGTCTGCGAGCAGGCTATAAGATTACCGCTTTACATCGTTGTATAAAACATTCTGATCGCATTTAAGGAATTATTTCTCATCCCAGATAAAATAGCACGAGGAAATATAAAGAAAATTTCTCAAGAAAGAGTTATTAATAAATAATATCAACACGGCTCTTATAGCCAATCAGCGTCAGCAATGCTTTTCTAACTTTAAAAACACCAAAATCGTTGAATAATTGTGTCGCCTAGGACTTAGATGTACAAGTTTTCCTAGCGCCAGTTATTGAACTACATTGTAACTCCATCTCGTTAGGTGACACGAAAATATCGGAAATTTCGTCCGGGTATAGCCATAGGCGAGACGTTTCGGTAAGTGGGATCATATAAACATGCAGGACGTTCATTATTTTCGACCGCGGTTTCATCATTTAAAGTTCGATCCTATTCCCATGCCTTACATCATTATCTTTTGGTCTAATTTGTATGAGTCTTGCCAACTTTCCATTCACAAACCTGACAAAATACTTTTTAATGTAACTTGGTCAATAAATGGTTCTAGAACACAAACTGTTGGTATACGTTGTTTTGGCCATGTAACGATCAACGATCGCATAGTTATTTTATCCAGTATAAAAAATAACCTGCATGATACTTTTATCAAAGTCATGAAGTTGGAACCCCCAAAACATGGGGGATATTTTTACCCTCTGCTGTATCTCGAAATATGTTATACGTCTACATTGTACCAAACTCCACATTAGGTTGCGGGAGATGGGGCTCAAGAAACGGAACATGATTCAACAAGAAATTTATCATATGGGATATGCAAATTTTGTATTGAGGGAAATGTAATCTGAACCAGTTATGTATGTCCAAGATTGCACCTTAAATTCTGAATGGAAAATTACTTATTAAGTAAATATTTTTCACACACAAGTTCTCTAAACTGAAAAGACAAGCTCAGAAAATTCTATTCAGCATGTTTTTGGTATATACAGTAATGTAAATAGAAGCATTTTTAACCGTGTATAAATGTTATCACGCTATAAAAGTTTATACCAGTTAGGGATGTGCTGGATACCTGTATCTGATGTCCAGCAAAACATCGGATATTTACCATATATGGTACTGGATCTTTTATTATAACTACAAAACCGTTTGTTTTGCGTTAAGATATTGTGAAACACAAACATCTATGGTCTACCAGACATGCATGTGACACATTTCAAAGCGAAATTACAGTTAAGTTTTTTGTAATGTAAACTCCTCTTTGCTGTATATTGTCTGACAATTCTTGTGCCACATACTAAACAGACAATGGAAAATTTTACGACAAAAAGATAGTGAGATATTGTCCAAATATGACCTGCATCGGTATCCGGTGGTAGACTAGCATTTGGTACAATCCGGCAAAGCAGTATCCCGGCACACCCCCAATACTATTATTAAAAACCAAACTATATTTTACCAATGAAGCCACTCCTAAGGCTAAGATACACACTGTCACCTGTGCTAGTATTAATAGTCATTAAGCTCGCTCAGGATTCTTTGAATCTATACTATGCTGTAGATACTACTGTATTACATAATACATAGATTGGTTGTGGGAAGGTTGGATAATGCTATTCACCAATTGTGATCTCTCACATTTGCAATATATAAAGCCAAATAATTTGGTGTTTTCAAATTAATATTTTTATGCTTATTGTAATCAATACCGTTTTTGAAAACCTTTGAGATTTTTGTAAAAAATTCAATTTTTAAATCAATATTTGATGGATAGCACTATCCTATCTAAAACTGTTTCCACTTTTAAGAGCAGTTTTCTATAGGTTGGTTTTAATTCAGTGTTTTAAATGAGCTCCACATGATGGTCAACATTAGAGCAGTCACCTGTGAGAACAATCAGATAATTCTTAATAATAACAGTCAAAATAAATTTGAAGAAACACAAATCTATTTGTCGCTCTGCCATCAACTGTTTTTCCTTTTGAAGTTGACCTCCATGGGTCGACTGCGCTATCACATATAATTGAAATCCACCTACAGTATAGACACATTGCAGTTTACCTTCAAGTCAGCTCATCCATGAAACCTAGCAGACAGATTTTGCCTTTTTGCCGGCTTCAACATCTTGAACGCTGTACCGTAGGTCTGACGGCCAAAAGCTCATCAATAGAAATAATCTTGTCAGTGGTTTCAATTTTAATAGGCACCAAATGCTTTTCGTATCGAAATGGGTTAAATTAGCTCGACAATGTTTCAAATTTAGTTGTAAATTCGAACTATTGGGTGAGATTCATTTTCCCAATGCAACATAAACCAAATCCAATACATGCATGCTTTATTTTCCAAATTGTCGTATCATGGAATGAACTCTAGTTGCTTTCATCATAAGAAAATTTGTACTAACATTCAGTAATGCTGCAATGGATCTACATGCATACAATGGCTAAATAGTAATTCCCAAACTTAAAAAAGGTAAATGAAAATTGAAAGCCACACGGAATCTACAGTCCTTGCATTTGTATAAAGCAAGGCAGTTGTAAGACACACTGATTAATTAAAGCAACTGAATGTAAAAATGTTATGCACGAAGTTAATAAGGGATGCCAAACATTACCACAATCTGAGACAAGATTGCGACAATCATATGAGCAGAAACAACCCATCCATTGTTAGGATCCGGGACAGAACCACACCTCTTTGTAGAGTTTGCATTTTCACAACAAAACTCATCGATTTTGATTGATACCAAGCTTTTTCCAGCCACGCTGCGCGGTCGAGCACATTTCCACAATGTTCTGTCGCCTTTAATGTTATTGGCAAAGGTTCGCAACCACGCCAGGTTGCAGTCACAGTTGAGTGGGTTGTTACCAAGCTGTATGCAGCGAGAATGGTAGCAATTTGGTAGGTTGGCGTACGGATTTTCGTCGATTGTTGCAATTACGTTATTTGATAAGTCAATTAGAAACAGTTTTGTTAACCCACTGAAAGCATTGTTTGGAACATGAGTGAGATTGTTGTTCCGTAGCCGGATCACACGAAGAGGCATTTTCTTCAGAAAGCCATTAAATGTGACTTGGGATGTGAGTTGACATCCATTACATTGAAATGTACTCACTTTGGAATCACGGAAAGCGTTCTCATGAATGATGAGGATGGGATTTCCATCAAGATCCACGCGTGTAACCTGAGTTCCTTTCAGTATATCAGGTCTGATATAGTTAATCCCACAATGACTCATTCCCAAGCGCTTCAGCTTTGGTAGGCCAGTGAACATGCCATCATTCAGAAGTTGAATGTAGTTGCCTCTGATCCACAAATTCTTAATATTTTGACCGAAATGTCCTTTGCCTATCTTAACAATGGTATCTCGATGTAATTGTGTATTCGCCATCTGGAAATATTCCACGTTTGTTGAGTTTTCAAACAAATCATCAGGCAAGGTTCCTACGCGGTTATTGGTAAGCCGAACCAAGTTCAATCGTGGGAGATTGGCGAACAGGCCAGGTGGCAGCGAAGCAATATTTGCATAATAGAAATCGACTGCAGACAGACGATGCAAGCCTTGAAAAACCAAACTATCGTTAAAAGTAACACCACGGTGTTGCTTGACCAATCATCAGGGCAAATCATCTGGATTGGCAGGGCAATGAAAGATTTTAGGTTATCGTTCCATGTTTCGCGCACCAATATAGGTTAGGTATTAGGGTTAGGGGTTAGGTATTAGGGTTAGGGGTTAGGTTAGGGGTTAGGTTTAGGGTTAGGGATAAGGTTAGGGTGTGTATACACGTGCATGGAGGTATCCAGTTAACTTTTCAGTACACTATAATATCCATTACATAACGTTTACTATATTGGTGCGCGAAACATGGAACGATTACCAGATTTTAAATGATAGAATGTAGAGTTATTAAGTAGCTTCCAGGGCTTCCAGAGGGAATTGAATAGAATTGATAGACCTAAATTTTACAGATATTGGTAAAAAATAAGGGTTTCATGCATGTTTTAACAGGAATTTGTCCAAAAAATTTTTTTTGACCCTGACGGCTTTCGCAGGGCAACTCTAGCAGACACCCCCCTAATTAAAAGGGGCTAGTTTCGCCCCTGACCAGTTATGAAGTGTTATTACCAAGTGCGAGAATTAAGCCAGTGCAACAGATTTCTTTTGCGATGATATAAAACCATTTACCTGAGAAAGAATGCCCTTATGGCGGAAGGTATGGCTAGTCTGTATTTTTGTTCAGACAATTGTGTAATTTAATAATTGATACGATCTCGCTTGACTTTCAAAGATCATAAATCACTATAAACTTGACACAGACTAAAACTATCGTTAGGAATTAGTAGAGAATTTTATACTGAATCGAATGGCTGTATTTTCATCTAAATAGCATTAACTGAACCGAAGATATGAACCTTGAAAATTACTATTCCGATTCTGGAATAGTTTTCTAGGAGCCGGTCGAAAAGGAGTTAAACAACCGACTTCCCAACATTGCTATTAACATGCACCTTAATATTGTCATTGAGAAAATGTTGCCACCGAATTCAAAATGACAAATACACAAAACTACATCGACGTGTTTAAGAGCCTCATACAACTGCGATTGCGAACTAGCTAGGTTGTCGCTAATGTCTTTTAATCCCCCTAATCTCGCAAATAAATCGACATATTTCTGGGAGCATCACGGCTATCATTTCTGAACTTCGGTAGTGTTGTACGTACCTTGCCATACTATATATTTAACGTGAAGTTTTAAACATGATGTTCTGTTAAGTTTTATTCTGTTTTAATATACCATGCAAGGTCGGACAAATTCTTTTAAAATGTGTCAAAATTGTTTTTAATAGGGTTCGTGTAACTGAAATTTTCATTCTGAAAGAGCATGAAAAAATAAGCCGATTGGTCGTTTAATTAATGCTCTATTCTATCTCATCTGGTTCCGAAGTTATACGCAAAAATGTGCAAAATAAAAATTGCTGATTCAGCACAACGTGTGACGTCATTAGCTGGGTAAGTATGTTTATTGAATAGTAAACTGAAGCATAGCTCAGTTATTGTTGGCTCAAGTCAAATGAAATTTTGCATACAGATAGTACATGATGAGACGCATGGGAAAATACTTCTAATTTTGTTGTCAAGGTAACAACAGTCGTTCCCAGGCCCCTTACACTTATTTTGAATAACTAGTTGCATTTATCTACGTGTATGTCATTTTCGAATTATTATCATACAAGTAAACTTTTGCCATGCATAGGTATGGTACACATACTTCTGATATTATTTTATTCTTATAAGTACCATGAATAAAGCTGTTTTATTAAATTGTCGCAAGGGGCCTGGGAACGACATTTAACGACGTTACCTTGGCAACAAAATTATAAGTGTTATTCAATGCGTCTCATCATGTACAATCAGTATGATAAATTTAATTTGATTTGAGCCAATAATAACTGAGCTATGCTTCAGTTTACTATTCAATACTGACATACTTTCCCAGTAATGACGTCACACGTTGTGCTGAATCAGCAACTTATATTTTGCACATTTTTGCGTATAACTTCGGAACTAGATGAGATAGAATAGAGCATTAAACAGCCAATCGGCTTATTTTTTCATGCTCTTTTAGATGAAGCAAAAAATTAGCATATTTTGAGGAAACAAAGGCAAAAACTCATTAAATGGGTCATAGCCGCTCAAAAGCTCGTCATTCTCATTAATTAAATATGTGGCCAAAACAACGCAAGCGGTAGAAAAACATAAAATCAAGACAATGCCCTATACATTTATTATGTCTCAAGTTCAAAACTCTGATTTATTTCCACATTTTCTCAATAACAAGTACCGCAACTACGCTGAATTAAGTTATGAGGAATTACTTGCTTTCATGTAAATTTTAGGTAACCATGAGCCATGCCCACACGTCATGAATTTCATAGCCTGCACGCAGCCCCCACCGGAAAATTTGAAACGGAAATTAGAGCACCGATTTTTTCTTTGAAAGAAATTTCGGACTGCGAGCGGGCTAGAAATTCAACGTGGACGATAATCATCTAAGTTTTGCAACGGTATACTATTTATACAAGGGTTTTAAAAGCCGTCATCATAATATCTTCTTGACAATAAGATTTCTTATGGATTTGTCAAATATGTTTATAATTAAGAGACTGAACTTGTTCATGAAGGGGCCAAATTTCCTAGGAATTATATATCCACTTGAGTGACCAAATTTCGTAGGAAATATGAGTAGGAGGGCTTAAGGGGAGGAGAGGGAATTCCAGGTGCACACCCATAAATTAAATTCATTAACGACACACCTTGATGCGCTCAAACATCATGGGTGTTTTGTGTGTTTATTACGTTATTTTCTTGCTTTTTCCTTGTGGTTTCAACCGAGGATGTGCTTTGGCCACCAAGAGCTCCGTTTTCGTCGTAGCAACGAAATTTTAATGAAATATTAGTTGAAATATGCAGATGTATTTGTTCTCCGGAACAATGTGTAGCTATTTGGTTTTTGAGCGATATTTTTCCCCAATGATTATCGTCAAATTTCAGCATGTGAGGTGTATTTTGCTAAAATTGCTTTTTTTCAGGTTAATTTTCGTGCTAATTTTCATCTTCGTTTTAAATTGCGCAGAATATACGCGCTGTTTTGGCGCAAGCTCAGACGTTCTTGTTGTTATGTTTTGCACATTACTATAGCGGTGAAGATTTTATAGAGTAAGTCTAAATGCATATCGTTCAATCCTATTGTATTTATTTTTTAGACGTAGAGTTATCGGCAATATCGCTGACTTCTTTCAATGTTCATGCTTTGGTTTGGTGAGCAGGGATTATTGTAAGGAAATTTTATCACTGCACAAAAGCGCAAAAAATGATAAAATATATATAAATTTAGTGACATTTTAAAATTCAAAACATTCTGACTGCCGGCCCTGCATGAGTGCATCATGTACTCTGATTCTGCAACTTAAAGTTTTTACCCATGTATGTCACTAATTATATGCAGGCAAATGAGCCAAAATCATCGCCAATGAGCCCTGCATATTGATATTTCATGCAAAAATATACAAATTTTCACATATTTTTTTGCTGGAATCGCATGCAAACCAACAAGCAATATTGCTCAAGATCTAGTCTTTCACACTCGTGAAATAGATTAATCTATATATAAACTGTTGATTGTGTCACCAAACAGCGTCAAAAATCTCAAAACCAAATCGCCCGGCAGCAGTTTAACCATACGAAGATGACATAAAAGTGATTTTCTTGAACACGACTTGGCCGCTAGGAGAGACACCTGATGATCCGATCGGAATAAATATGCCACAGAAACATTCAGTAAATGAATGCTTTACCGATCAAGAGGTCGGCCAACAGTAGCTGATCGAGCTCTCAGATTCCAATAATTCTGAGTTAAATATTTTCTCCCTGTATATTCCCAGTAAAAACTGAAAGCCATTGTGGCCATTTTGTCGCCAATTTCTGGTACTGAATTAATATCGCATTTTATCACTGCGCATAATCTAATTTATCGCTGCACAAATCTCATTTATCACTGCACAAATTGTTTATCACTGCACCTTAGAATAATCTCTGTTGGCGAGACCCGTGTATGTTGACTGGAAAGCTGAGTTTAACTTTGACCAATTTTCAGCACATAGAAAACAAACTGTATAACGCAGACACGGCTAAACATTCTGTAGCCATGTTCCTGGAAACTATCTTAACTTGACCTTTAGTTCTAGTATAGAGATGTATTAACTTCGATTCGGCTGGATTTTATCAGTTACCCCACTCACTAGAGATATGCATGCAGACACTTCGAAGTAGTATAGTGTGTTGAAATTCTTAGTACCCGGAATAGGTCTGTGACGTGCTATAGTTAGTATAGGTGCATCGGAAGCAATCTTTCAATTTCCAAGATCAGGAAATTGAAATGCAGTGGCGAAGCTGAGGGCATTTGACTAACACCCGCACATGCCAGTTGGTGGGGGCATGCACCACGCAGAGTGGAACATTCTTAATACTTTTTCATTTCGAAATTTGTATTTCTCGAAATTTAATTTTATTTCGCCATATATATTTCAACTTCACTGAAAATTTCCCTCAATATAGAAGAAAGAGGAGAATATTGTATGTATGCATTTTAATACCCTTCTGTATAAATATGATCTTTCATTTGGAATTGCGTAAGTTCAACTGTAGTGTACTATTGTATAGTATAGTGTCTGCAAGTACCTTGTAAATCTGAAGCAGAAACCTATAAAGAGATTTCATAGATTTAGATATTTGGTATATCTGTAAACCTGTAATTATATAAGTACTCATGAACTGGTAGTAAATATATTTATATCAAGCGAATGTCTTCACAAATCTTGTTTATATTCGCCATTGTATAGAATACGCAATTGAGTCTGTTAGCATGCATTTCGTGAGCTAAAATATCTTAGAAGTCAGAAATATTCTATCCAAATCTAAATGGCCTTCCTACAATACAATGGATTGACGTTGCTCAATTTCCGTATATGCATGACTAAGATAACTTGAATGAATCTCGACAAAATTGCTGAATAATTTACGGTGTTTAACTTGGTCGTGCTTTCGAAGATGAGCACGACAGGAAGACAAAATTCGGTGAGATACGCATGCGTGAGCAACCTCGTACCCAGGGCTTCCGCGCTTATTGCTCTCAGAAGCCCTGGGATAATCCAATTCAGAACGTGATTTGATTGGTCAATGCGAATACAATGAAAGTACCGGAAGTTATTCATTAACCGGGTGATATTTTGGCAACATGGCTGCTATCTCAAGGAGTGTATACAAAAGTTAAATGCTGGTTTTTGCATGAAAATACTTTTAAATCAAATTGTGGGCTATTTTGAAAAGAGCAAAAGAAGAAATGGACTATTTGTATTTGTAAATAAGCAAGAATGGCGAACAGAGTAAAAAAATTAACATAATAAAGCGAAACATTTCTCGTTCGAAAATTGAAATTTCAAGTATAAATCTACAACTTCAACCACGATATTCAATGTAAATATTACATAATAAAGTTTTTAATACCTTTTATACCTTTATTTGATAAATTGTGTGTTCTATATTATTGCATTTTGTATTGGAATAGGATAAATTATGAATTATACACAAATATTTAAATTTACAAATTATTCCCAATTTGAGGATGCTGGGTGCACTGGCTCGGAGTTTGTATTAATGCCTATTTATTATTGAGTTATTAGTGCCTCTAAATCTCTAATGTACAAGCATTGTAATCTGTTACTTAATACCATAAAGAAACTGTTGATAGCACATATATTAAATGACTATTAATCAAAATGAACTAAATTTTCGACCATTATATAGCATATTTCCCCCAATATTGAGGGAATAATTTCTCCTATTTATTTTTATAATAAGCCAATATTGCCCAACTGTGAAGTAAATATTGCCCGACTGGCCTACGCCTATGACCAGGCCTACAGGTGGACCCCCAACCTGATTGGTCACAATTTTTCTTTCTCCAAAATTTCCCCTCCCCATGTACAAGGATTGACAATTTGACAGTTTGATTAGATTTGAAAAAAAAACACAGTTATATTGGGTCATTCCAGAAAACACCCATACCACTACCACAGAGGAAATTGAAAGTTAATCCCTTCTACCCCTTTGGATGTCCTAATACATTTACTATCATGAGAAACAATTTTTCCCCCCTCCCCCTCTGAACGGCAGAAATTTCCTCTGTGGGGGGACTGTCGATATTTTCTGGAACGACCTATTTGAGAAATGCTTTTGCACAAATTTTAAATTTTCTTACAATTTTCTTGTATGTCAGAACACTGTTCTAAGTTGCAACTAAAATTCAGAGGTCTAAAAGGCTCAAGTCAATTCCAGTGGTGTAACCAGAGGGAGTGGGGGATCAAAATATTTTAAGTGTTCTGAACTTGTTTGTAATTAATTAGAGTTGAACATGTGTTAACTGCAAGGTTATTTCAAATCACCAAAACACATTAAAATAGCCCCCCAAAATGGCACTTTATTAACTAGAATTTAAAAAGTCTACATTGTACTATATTATACATGGATAGCTTGGGAGTCCAAATATATTTTTACATACCAACAAACTTTATTCAAACTAGTGCAGTTCCCCTCCTGGGGATTGCAGTCCCCCTTGAAGGCCTTAATTAGAAATTCTGGCTACATCACTGCTCAATTCCATTGCCAATGATGATGTTAGCATGATTAGACAGAGTAGATTAACAAACTAGTGTGTATTATGAAATAATCCATTGAACACTAATGATCTATCCCAACATATAAAATCATCTGGTGCAGTGGTGGATCCAGCAAAGTTTTTTGGCGGGGTGCTAACCAATGGCGAAACGAGCGCCGAAGGCGCAAGATTTCTAGGGTGGTCCGGGGGCATACTACCACGGAAAATTTTTAAAATTTGGGTCTCTGAAATGGCATTTCCAGCATTCTGAGAAAACATTCTGGAAAATTTTTAGATTCACAAAACATTTAAAAATTCAGAATATTTAATATTGGCTATTTCACTATATATTGTCAACTAGTGATACGCAACTGAATTCCTTAACATAAGTTGGTTAGAATTAGGATAAACATCATTTTTGCACCCCCCCCCCCCATGCACCCCTGTTGACCAGAGCCTGGGGGGTGCACACCAGAGTAAAATAAAAAGTAAGACACAATGTATAACTTAATAGGTAAGGTTAATGGCCAGAACAATATAATGATAAACAATATTTTATAATAAACCCAAATTAGTTCAGCACCATTGGTTCTTATAACACTGTTCATTCCAATACTAGAACATCAGCAATTAACAAAAGTTGGAGTTTCATCCGATGACATGTATGCTTCTAACCATGCTGTCCATGCA